GGTTGTTCACGCCAGCGCGAATACATCGCGCTAATCGCGAGCGGCGATAATTCTACTGTATAGAACGCGCATGTTCCACGGCCGGAATGATGCTCACTGCGCATGCCTCGCTGCGTCACTCGCCCTTTGGGACATGATGCGATATAAAATACGCGATATTGACCGAGCGTTCACACACGCCAATAATCGCCGCTCTATCCAAAGCGAGCGCTTCCACACGCAAATATCGCGCTTTCCAAATAATCGCAAGTCAAAAGTGCGCATTTTGGAGCGCGATGACTGATCGCGATTATTAGTGGCGATTATGCCGTTCACACTTGTAATTAATACCTCGGTATTTCGATCGCCCGATTGAACAAACCGGGATTGCATCCCGCTTATTGGCGCCAGTGTTTTTGAACGCGCCTAATGTTTATGGTGCTAAATGGGGGCGGCTGTTGCGCAGAAATTGATTCGATGGGTTATTACTGTTATAAACACGTCGAAGGTTTGACGTAAGAGGTTAGCTGTTACCAGAAGAAATATTCTGACGGCGGCGGCCCCCCAGGTTACGGAGTGGTACGTGCGATGGGTGCGAGCTAGGTACCAGACGAATCGGCGACTCTTAAATTTCTTTTAAAATTTCACTTTTAATACGCGAGGCGCAGTGTTTGTTGTTGTTATTGTTGTCGTGCATTGTTTTTCTTGTCCTACGTGCCGCGTTGTTTGTGTTTCTGTGATAGTTTAATGAGAGTGAAACGAGATCTGATGATGACGGTCTAATGAAAATGTAAGATCGGCAGACATGAGAGCTAATAAGACCGACCATTCAGCTATTTACAGTCGCGCCTCGAGCCGTGATTGGTCGGGGGCCGGCTGAGTCTGGTACTTGTGACTCTTTCAAAATGCCTGTCACTGTCAAAAATGCCCATATGATTTTTTTTTCGCGTTGCGACTAAGTTTGCCTATTTTGGTTTTTGGTTTGTGTTTTAGAAACTTATTCTACAGATTATTGTGTTCATTTCGTCTTCTTGCCCCCGTTTTCTTCGGAGCGGTTTATGCTTTAATCTGCCTCTCTGACTGGCTTTCTACATCCATATTCGTCGCGTATAGCCATTTGATGTTTTAATATAGCCATTCTGTTGCTGAACGCTGGCTGAGAAAGATTGTTATTACCTTGGAGAAAATGGCATTATTGAAAGTGAGTTTATGAGCATGTATAATAATTTTTATTATTCTGTGGATCACGTGTGCCGGGATTCATGTGATGGATGTATTTTAAACAAAATCTTGAAATAAAAGAAACCTCGATCGCTGCACTCAAACAACATTGTCATTGGCGTTTTTATCGCCCTCTACGTTTTTTCTTCTTCCTCATGACTTGTCTGTTCCCCTTTCGGATGCCGGATGGTATCGCCCACGGCGCGTTTACATAGGCATCGACGTACGTTAGATTGGTAGGCACATACGCCAGATCGACATATCCATTACCGGACGTGGCACGATTCTTCTCCCTCCTCCTTTTCTTACTAATCTTATTCTCTCTATAGTTACTTCTCTCGCTTCTGGAAATGCTATGACTCTCTCTACTCTAGTCTAGACATTGACAACTTCTCGTCTGTCCCAGGCGTACTTGTCGGAACGTACCCTGGTTACTTATCTATATGCCGCCGGACCGTACCTAGCCTACTCTACGTACGAGTCTTAGGGAGTCGTCTACGCCTACTCCCTGATAACCCTAACCTAAACCATATCAGATAGTTACCAGCGGTACGATTCCGGTATACCGGACTAGACCAATACAAATTTGCTGCTATTAAATTTTATTGTTTCTGACGCTTATTTTAGGTACCCAGGTACCGTACACGTTCGCCAGTACCCTGAGGGACATAGGACCCTTATGAGCGTATAGTACTCTCTTTTTTTTTTTCTTCTTTTTTCTCGCCTTAATATGTGCTAATAATTTCCTGTAATTAAATCTGTTCCCAATCACTCGACGCCACGATGTCAAAATTTAACAGTATCAAGAGCACCGTATAATTGATTATATATCCCTTGCTGCAAAACGCCCGGGCGATCCCCACTTCGTCGGAGGACGCATGGCGGGTACTGCTTTGACTATCTTTTTATAGGTATACTCATTGATCACTAAGATAGATTAGGTCTTTGATTGTGCATGGCATGCTCTCATGTTGGACTAAGACGAAAATCACGTTTCCTATTGGCATGGCTACCAACGGCAAACGCCCAATGATGATGAGCGTTAATGTATTACTCAGCTACGACTTCACTGAAGGCAGCAGCATGAGATTAACACATTGAGGAAAAAGGTAAAAAACCCGACGCGCTACACAGAGCACCAGTCTGCGTGTGACAAGCGGCCTGTTCGAAACCTAGAGACACCACGTGGTCAGGCGACTGCACATGTACAAAGCGTAATATTCTCTTTGTCGCATATTTCTCACCGCGCCAGCGGTCCCAAATGGGGAATTCTAGCTTAATTGTAAATATTCCTGATGAAAGTCATATGGCGCTTTGCTCATGTAATGGAAAGCGTCACTTGACATTGATACACACAACAACTGTGTAAAAACCTGACGATCGATGCACAAGCGTGTCTCCAGTCACACACTCAGTGTTGTCTTCGACTATCAACCTCAGATCTCCGATACGATTATTAGAGATAGTGAACTCCCCAACACCTTATTACGAATAGATTAAACATTGTCCTCTCTACCGGCCTCATATAACTTTTTACCCAACTCCTTGCTTGCGCCCAAACCTCGAGGAAATTTCCGCCTCTGGTATTTGCATTTCAGGGAGAACGAGTGGAAGCAGTGCGTCCCTATCACCATGTACCTACCCCCACCTGTCAATCCTGTAGAATAACTCAATGGAATCCACTTTCCTGTTTAGAAAGCACAAGATCGCCACCACTTGGTGGAATTTCCCACTGGTGCCGAAAGATTTTCAGGTTGCCGGTTGCTTTTACAGATTACGCTGAAAATTCATTTATTACACTCTCCCTTCTCCGTAATTAGCTACCTGACGAAACCCACCTGAGATTTAAGCCTTCACATCGCGAGCGCAGGCAGAGTGGAGCGCGAGAGTAGTGTGTGCTTTATTGTGAGTGTCGTAAGACTTCATGCACCGACAAGAATTAACGCACCATTTTGCATATATTATTGAAATAAGAGAGTTCCCGGAACACACGCATATGGCCAAGTGCATACAATACATACACAATATAAGTAATACTCCAGTGACTTTTTGACCTATTACTTTATTTGCAGAATTTTTGAAACAGATACAATGACAATCGTGCGTTCATGCTATGACACAAATTAAATGAAGTATTAAATATTACTCTACTCGTATATTACGCCAATATGTTACTCAAGTTTACATAATTGATGTTATAAATACTATAGGTTTAATTGCAAAAATGCACCCAAAGGCATTGTCTAGCTTTGTCTAGCTCCGTATAGCTGTCTTACTGTATCCTGACCTTATTTCCCGTGTCTCACTATATATATTAATGAAGACATATATCTACTATTATCATGACCATATGATATTTACTCTTGTTCATGCACACTCCTACCTACTCATATAAATATGTATACACTACCTAATGTATCATGAACATCTGTACAATGTATTTGAGAGCATACATATATGCTCATGGTATTATCAGGAGTAAGATAATATATTATCTTACTCATGGTATTATCACACACCAAGTAATTCACACTACTAAATATAAAATTTACAAATTATATACAATAACTGCGCAAATGCTACAATATCTGGAAAAACGTAGGACAAAATATTTAAATTTATCACTACATGTGTGCTTACACTAGGAGTGTCATATAATATAGTAGGACACTCCTAATTATTATTACCTATAATTATTATGTCCGATATTATGACACTCCTGATTACACTATACACAGTGCACGTAAAAAAATCCAAATACATCACTATACATATATTACTACATTAGTTATCAAGCATAATAAATAGGCCTATAACTGATACTAGGTTTCTCAATAGAATCAAGCTGGTCCTCACCAGGACCCAACCTTCACCATGCTACCTTGGAATATGCTATGCCGATTAAGAGGTGCAAGTGAAAAAAGACAAATATAGTTATGCAACAAATATAATAGTAAGAATAATGGTACCGTGACATAGTCCATCATAAAACAAAACAATTCTTTCCTGAAGAGAAAAGCTGTCGTGACAAATCTAATTACGCATTCAATGTTTTTGTTATGTAAAATGTCGTTGCCATAACACGGGGTTTACATCCAAGCTAGACTGGTTATGCCACTTCTAAATATTACTACAGGTACTCAAATACGCAATATATGTTATCAGGAGTCTATATATTATACACTCCTGATGATATATAACACCCCCCCCCCGGAAATAAACATTTAAAATCTGAACCTACAAGTGACGATTACCACTTACACAGGTTGAGACGATCGGAGACGCCTACATGGTCGTGTCAGGCCT